TGCCTTTGAATTATGGTATTGGCCGAGAATACTGAATATACCACGGACTGCCACCACAACAAACAAGTCTGTCTTGGAAGTACAGCCGGAATGCTCCTTGAAGTGAGGATGGTGAGACTTCATCTCGTGTACTTTGAACGTTGTCTCAGTCATCTAGTGCTGCTATAACACAAATACCACCAGTGGATGGCTTTAACAAAGAGAAGTTTATTTCCTCACAATAAAGTAGGCTCAAAGTCCAAATTCGGGGCGTTGGCTCCAGGGAGAGGCTTTCTGTGTCTGTCAGCTCTAGAGGAAGGTCCTCATCAATCTTCCCCTGGACTAAGAGCTTCTCTGCACAGGGACTCCGGGTCCAGAGGATGTGCTTTTTTTGCTCTCGGTACTACTTTCTTGGTAGTATGAGGTCCCCAATTCGCTGCTTGCTTCCCTTTTATGTCTTGTAAGATAAAAGGTGGTGCAGGCCACACCCCAGGGAAACTCCGTGTCCATTGGATCAGGGATGTGACCTTAGTAAGGGTGTTCCAACCCCACTCTAATCCTCTAACTTAAAATTACAATCACAAAATGGAAGACAACCATGCAATACTGGGAATCATGGCCCAGCCAAATTGATATAACATTTTTTTGGAGGACTTAATTCAGTCCATGACAGACATGTTATCAGAAGGGACCAGTTCTTGGACATTATGCTTTGTAAGGTTGAGGGTCAGCAAAAAAGAGGAAGACTGTCAACGAAACAGATTGACACAGTGGCTGCAACAATGGGCTCAAGCATAATTTTAGATGGTGCAGGACCAGGCAGCGTTTCATAGGGTCGCTATAAGTCAGAACCAGCTCGACGGCACCTAACAACAGCAACTCCCTTTTTGTTGTGAAAAAGTACTCAAATGAAGCCTGTGCTGTTGTCGCACAGCAGCCTCTTCACTGTCATCTGTTCAGACAGGAAAGATGAGAGACTGAAGTAGAAACAGCTGGAGGTGGAAGTCAGTGTTTGAGTCGCTTTGTCGATTGCTTCCCCCTGTTCTTTGGACTGGAAAAAGGAATAGCCTGAGGTGATGGATGGGGTCAGCACTTCTCTGAAGAGTTCCTGAGGAAAATCAGGACATCCTTTTTTAATCCTGGCATAGGAGCTCTTTACCTTGAAGGAATTGTGACACAATTTTTTGTTTTCACGACCCATCCATTTTCCCAGAAATAGTGTTATAATTCCATTTTATTAAAAATGAATAATATATTTCTAGCCTGACTGTTTAATAACTAAAGACAACCTTTATTTTTCTTGTCTTCCCCTCCCCTCAATTTCATTACACTCAGGCCAAAAATATTTTCTCTTCTACCTCTTCTTTCCCCTTTCAATTCGCAAGCTTTCCAAATAGCTAACGGGCCCCTATTTTTTAATCTTCCTTTAACATATACTGTTATCTTTTCATAACCTTACCTGTCATAGTCCATCATTTCTTTCTCCGTTCAGTACTCTACTGGCAGCTTAATCTTCCCATTTTAGGGCCCTGATTCACAATGCCATTTCTCTGCTCAGCAGTGACAGCCAGCATCTCTTGGGAACTGAATGCCATATAGTCTCATTTTGTTCTCACGACATGGAGGTAGGAGCTTTTACCCTCACGAGGGTACGGAGGCACAGAGAGGGAGGCGACCTGCCCACAGGTTGGGGTCATGGCCCAGGCCCTTT